ATGACATCATGCAGGATACATCATGAAGCCTCAATGGAGGAAAAAAAAAATCTTTATGGAATTTGCCAGATTGCGTCTTCATTACTGAGCTGGATCTACTGAATGATAACTTGCCTTTACAAATTAAAAAAAAAGAAAAAAACTTGACAAACCTACTGTACTATTCTCAAGAAACTTTATTACTAACACTTCTCGTATTCTTTGCCTCCTTAAGATAAATTGCTTCTTGTATTCCATTTGTAAGGAATGAATAAATGTAAAAAAATAAAAGCACTTGATCAAAATAAGTACTCAACCATTCATGCTTACACAGTTTATTAGTGGTTTGTTATAGCCTGCAACAAAGTGCTGGCATATTATAAATAATTGTAATGCAATTTACATTTCTGAATTTGCAAAAGATGCAGCCGTCCATTGGCACTCCTTTAGATGAGAAACACCACATTCTCTGAAACCATGACCTGGTTGTCATCCTGCATGCGCTCCAGCAGAAGGTTAATCTCATTCTGGTCAAACTCCTCGTCCTGGCCTTTGTTAACGTGAGTCAGAAGATCAGGCACCGCCACAGACTGAGACCGGGTCACCTTAAAGGCCTTCAGTAGAGCCGCCTTGAAGACTTTTAATCTAAAAACGTCAAGGCAAAAGGGTCACGCTGTTAAAAATCAGTCTCCGTATCCATTTTGCAGTTAGCCTGTTGAATTGACTCAAACAAAACATGACAGAAAAACATTCCAGACCAGTCCATCATTGTAGCACAACATCTAAGCAAGTAATGGAGGAATAATGCATAATTCACAGTATTGGCACAGGCCAGAATATTATCTGAAATTGAAGAGGAAAACAACAGGTTGTACCTGTCTTGACTGATGTCAGCCTTCTTCCTTTGACTGCTTCTCTGAGACGCTGGCCTACTCTTCTGACTTGGCTGAGCTAACAACAACACATTTAAGACAACATCATATTTATGACACTGAATATATTCAAAATATTACATTTCAAATGTAGAGCAAAATAAAACTACTAAATTGGTTAAATTTACTTTAATACAGCAATGGAAAATAACCTGCATTGATTAAGCACACAGCTCACTGAGAAGTCAAAGTGAATGAGTTGACCTACTGTTTTCATCTTCTGGGAAATCATAAGGATCTGAGTCCTCTCCTTCTTGAGTCATTTCCACATCATCATCAACATCTTTAGAGATGCGAGAACGCTTCCTGTAGACAAAGCTAGCTCACACCTGCAACTTCAAACACTTGTTTTTACTGTAGCGTTAACCTCCCTTTCACACTCACCTTAGGTTCCTTTGACTCTCTGTATCTTGGCTCTGAGAGATGTCCATCTCAGAGTCCTCAGGCACCTTCCTCTTCTTATGCTTCTCTAGAATCTACAGAGTCATGCCAAATTACATTAGACACAAATGACAACGCATAGCAGTATCAGTTCTGGATGTGAATGATTGCATGCCTTTTTGAAATAAGCAAACTGCATGAGTTCAAGTGCAGCTTCTGCATCTCCCAGATCGATGGTTTTACTCATGCGGGCCTTGGCGTGAGCTGTAGACAATCGAATCATGGTCTCCAGAGCTCGAGCGGTCACAGGCATCGTCTGTGGGAATGGATTCAGTCAGTCTATCAAACCAAGCAATTCAAGAGTAACAATAACATGAAAAGCACCTATGTACAAAGATTTTAAATCTCTACAGGGCTCTACAGACCCTGGCGGAGTCACTGTTGACTTGGTCATGACTCCGGAGTCTAGAATACTCCTCTGCTATGTAGTCTGACGCCTCCTGTGTCAGGACCGGCTTCACCAGCTTAGCGACGTGGATGTACTTCCTGAT